TGGTTATGGTTTGATTTTTATTAAGGACATCTTCATCATATTTGAGATATATACGATTTTGAACCATCCCTGTATTTTCATCCATTTTTTCCATGTGACCAAACCATCTATTATTTCCTTTTTCTATTCTAGTCACGATATCGTCAATACTCTCTTTTGCCGCTGTTCTTATATCTGATAAATATCTCTAAGAAATTTGAATTCTACCAACCAGTATTTGTGAAAGCGTGATAAGCAAATTTTGGTTTATTTCTCTTCACCAGAAAAGATACGGGCCTATATGTATATAGGAAAGTAATGGCAATGTATAATTTTCTCGATGCTTTCGATATACGTGACGTTAATGAGTATTTTCATGTGTTGGAAAGATTTAATGTATCTTTCTATCTCTCGATTACATTATACTATACACAAATGGCAACACTAACGTGTTGTCTCGGTTGGAGGTTACCACGACATGAAACACAAAAAGTTACGTATCCTCAAAAATACTTTTGGAATTATTTCACTTTATGAAATATATGTAGTTAGTTGTACAAATATGTTCAGAAGCGACGATATATGGGAACAACAAGAACATTAAGCGGAACAACAAAATTGTTGCAACATTGAGCCGTTTCAATGATAAGGTTTGTCAGCACTGCACCATGAATGACGGGAGATTGTGGAGAGGCAAGTCCAAGAGTTTGGAGAGCAGCGTAAATTAAAAATTCATTCCGATGCTAAACGTGACGAGATAAACGCCCGTCCACCCTCTACCATTAACTACAATTACGTTGGCGGTGTACTTTCGTGCCCCCAATGTGCGCGAGGGTTCGTAGCGATTGGCTACATTAATCATTTTCGTATGATATAAGTATTCATAATCTGTTCTATTTGAAAGACAAGTTCTGGCAAATACAAATCATAGTCTTACCATAATATTCGCATATATGGTGTTATTTATTACCTTACCATCTTTTTTTAAGTATATAGATACGATCATTTCTTCCCATTAAACATGTGACTATGTGACGAAATGCGGACATCTGGCATAGAGCCGATGCCAACTTTACGATGACAACAACATACAAATCATATAATATTTTGCCAAATTATTACGTTCGTAAACATATAAGCACGCCAAAATTCTTCATATATATCCATGGCATACACCGTAATGCCTGCCATCGTGGTGGAAGGATTTGCCAATCAGCGTAACGTACTCGCCGATTGTTTGTTGCCCAATGTACGCCAGAGGTACAGGAAGGGAGTGGTGCGTCGTGTGAGGCTCTTTTCGTGCTCTCTTTATTTTTCTCACAAAAAAGAAAACTTTTTCACTGGACGAAAACAGATCTATGTTTATTCGACATAACGTACCTATATTGTAACATATAATGCCACAGGAGAAGACGACTTCAAGAATTTGAATAAGAGATCACTGGAACTAGTAGCAGAAGAGCTCCTTGTGAAAGATTTCGTCCAGGGCAGTACTGCCACCTTACCTATTTCTGCCGCTATGCAGTAGTGTCAGCTTTAGTGCGTTCCGGTTTTGTAGGGTAAGGGTGCTAGGGAAATTACAGGCACATGGGACTTGTCAACTTAGTTCTCAGGGTGACGGGCGCTGTGGCAGAGCACCTCAGATCTTTGCGATTTAGGGCACGTTCAAATTAGTCGCTGTTAACCCCGCTGCAGCAGTGCTGCAGCCGTGCAACGGCGGCGCGACGGTCACTTTTCATACAATTCTAGACGTGCTGCCGCAACGAGACAGTCGCGCGGCCGCCGCGCGGTTTCAGCGCTTCTAGAAATTTTATGAAAAGTGACAATCGCGCGGACGTCGCGCGGTCGCCGCGCGGCTGCAGCGCTGCTACACGGTAAAAACAGATTACTTAGAAAAAGACAAAATTCTTTATATGAAGACAAATTTATTAAATCCAACAAAACAATCCTCTCCCTATAGACGCTAGAGAATAATTACTTGATAATAGTAAAAAAATGTCTCAAAAGTGTACTTTTGTTATAAGACAGAAATATTTAATCCAAGAGCAAATTAATTTACTTCAAGTCACAAAGCCACTCTAGATTCAACAAAATATTTGTTTGTTATTAGAAATGTCCGATTTTAATTTGAAAAAAAAAATGAATGTAAAATTGAGAGGTACTTAATTATTTGACTGAAGATTTATGTTTTCTAATTTCAAAAAGGGTAAATTTATAGGGTTATGTACTCAACAATATGTCTCACTGGCGTGAAAACACCAGTTCAGTGCCGTATAAATAAATGCTACAGCGGCTGAAAGCACTAACATTTCAAAATATATGAGATGACTTTATACTATTGAAGTTAACAAAACGATAGCGCGTTTCAGAGTACAACTAATGCCATCTAGCAGTGGCGTGACGCAACTAATTGCATGTTAAAGTTGTGCTTGTTACAAATGTAGTTTGATTTCATGCTGTAACCAAATTTCTTAAAATATGACTATAAATAACACCCTAACAAACTAGAGATACTACGTATTGTTTCTTTGGACAAATGACTGTTTATGATTTTTATGATTACAAGCACAAGTAAAAGCAAACGTTACCGTGTGCGGCTTCGGCGACATGTCACGACATCATTGACTATGAAAACGCAACGAAATGTTGCTTTAAGAATATACTCTAGAATTTAGAATATTAATCTGTATAGAAAACTACATCTTCTTTTATTTAAGAATATATTTTCTTCAAATACACCCAAGAAATTTTGAATTCATTTAAGATTATTTAAATTTGATGTAAGAGGTAAAAATTTCTTGATGTAAGTAATGTCCAATTAATTGATTAGAAATGAAATAAAATCTTGAAGTGAACGTATTTGTCTCAAAGTTAGAATAAAGTTAAGAGTAAAATTATATTAGAAAAAGATAAGCAGCATTTTTGTAGTGACAATATTTTCTTACTTTTAACAAATATTTTTTCAGAATTAGCAAATATTTTGAGAAATTGCTCTTTCTTATTAGTAGAAATCCTTTTTTTCTGTGTAAGCGGCCAATTTGAACGCGCCCTTAAAGCTCTTGTTCTTCCCGTCACTTGATATTATATAAAAAAATGTGTATTATAATTTTTAATTAAATTCAAAATGAATACGATTTTATCAATATGGTGATAAATTGCTTAGGTATATTAACGACTGTCAACTAGTATCTTTGCCGTATGTTGAAACTCATGCATTTCGTTGCATCATAAAAAGATTCTACGCGTTATATCTAGTTTTTGCCTTTTGCACGTGGTATACGGATAAAGGGTATAAATGTACTTCTGCCTACATGTATATCGAATGTCGGCAGACTTAGAATTGAAATAATTATAACTTTTTGATAAAAAAACCGACCTGAAATGTTTGCTTACCTTTTTTTGCTTCTTTACCGTGGTCAACGATAACTGGTGATATGGAAGTTTATTCAAAACACAAGGTAGCTGCTGAAGGTACAATGTTGAGGAGCTCTTCTCGTCTATATGCCATTTCCATTATCAGATCAGTCTACGACATTATATTTTCATTGGAATTACATCTATGTACCAAGTTTTATTGAAATCGGTTAACGGAAAGTAAAATTCAATATACCGAATTTCCCCAAAAAAAGAACGGACAAAATTTGTTGTTCCATTTTGTTTATAATGTTGGAAGATATGACGAGAAAGATACGATTGAAAAAGCCTCAGCTAGAATTTAAGTTGAAACAAATGAATTTGACTTATCGACTCATCCGAAGAACAGAGTCGGATGTAATTATATAGCGAAAAGAGTATAAAACATAATCTCGTTATTCAAAAGATCTATCTAAAGGTGTTTCAGATTTTTTTTAGGTATTTATTATTCCGTTTTGGAAATATAAAATCGAACAACAGTCGATCTTGACTGTGAAAAAATATACAATGTCCTGAGAATAAGCAGCATCTTGCACATAGGTCTTTGTTCTACGGATGAGTCGTTATGTATATATAGGTTGGATTCCTACTACTATTAGTAACTACTATTTATTTCTCTCGTGAGTTTGGGTGTAATTTGTGGTTGTCTATGTGTGTGTCCCGCGACACAAGGTGTCCTTGTGCAGGGCTATGTTGAGTGTGAGTGTCAGTGTGTGTGTGTGTGCTCGTGTTCGTTAAATGTCTGATTGAAACTTCAAGTAGTATACGTAGCGTGGATACAACGTCCCTCTGAAATTCCGGAATTATTAAAAACAGACAAAACGTCAAAACAATATATATATATTTTTAAGTGATTTATTGAATGTTTACAGGATGTTTGACGACCATGATATTCAATTATTTTTTTGAAATTACTCCACTAGTTTGTTATAATTATTAATACAAATATCGAACATTTAGAAAAAAATCCTTGGATCTGTCCGGATTCGAACCGACGTCTTCTAGCAAACCCTGCCAGATGCTATGCCAACTAAGCCACGGAACGAACCAACGGACCGCACGAATTTTTCTATGTGCTTATTGACCGGATCTTTGTATCTGGTTTTTAACGACTTTATACATTTTTAGTTACAATTATAAAACTTTCTTGTAAATTCAATACCGTAGTAATTGGTAATCAATTACACTTCAAAAATGTGAAACAAAATACAATACACTAAGGGTCGTATTCTAGAACTCTACTTAATACTCAAGTTAGGATTTGAGTATGGTTTAAACCACTTGATATCATTGTTCTAGAATACGACCCTAAGAGTCGTATTCCAGAACTCTACTCAATGCTCAAGTCAGGACTTGAGTATGATTTAAAGTTAAATCATACTCAAGTCCGTTTAGGGTCGTATTTCCAGTGCTTGAAATCATACTCAAGTCTGCTCAAATCCTGACCTGAGCATTGCGTAGAGTTCTGGAATACGACTCTTAATCCGGGTTTTCAGAGGGAGGTATTAAACACTCTATGTGTATATAAACATACTTTACCTAGTTCGATCTCGGATGATATAATACAATTGCACTCCATCTACAACCTTGCAATAATTTTGTTCCAGCATCTTCACTCGGCGCGGCCGTAACGATGCCGATCTGTGGATTTCTTATCGCACACTTTGGATGGGAATCTGCTTTCTATTTCACTGGTGAGTTGTACATTTGTCACCTCGCTACTTACGCTACATAAACGTGAGATTTACCACGCTGTGATGCCGTGTATACCACACGACAGAATCTTCTTCTTGAGGTGCCATCTCCTACTGGACGTCGGCTATCATTAGGCTGTCTGTATGTTGAACACAGCTGCAAGGATCTTGTGCTCTTAATGAAGTACGCCTTCTTCCAGGAGGTTGTTTTTTTCCTAGATTTTCCTTGCATAATTAGTAGGACTGATACCAGACGACTAGATTACAGCCTTCGGAAGATAGAAAGGCACAAGTACCAAATATTAAGGTTAGTAGCCATGGAGGTAGTTCTTTGTGAAAGAGGTCGTCCAGGGAAGTACTGCCACCTTACCTACTTCAGCCGCCAAGCAGTAATGTGAGCATTACTGCGTTTCGGTTGAAAAGGGTAAGGGTGCTCGTGATATTATAGGCACATGGGACTTGTCAACTTATGTCTCAGAGTGACGGGCGCAGTGGCAGTGCCCATAAGATCTTTGCGATTTAATCTTTGCGTGTCGCTTACCATCAGGCGCACGTCTTGTTCGTCCCGTCACTTTAAAGGTTGCTTGCCACAATATCACTTCTTAATTGAGATATGAAACGTTCATATCTCAATTAAGAAGCTACCGGATGTTGTTGATACCAGAGAACTAGAGGAAACAAATATACATATACATCCAAAGTGTCTAAGGATCAAGGTTTTTTTTAAATATTCATTTCCCTATTAAAATTAAATAATATGTATATATTATTAAATTATTTATTTATTTTTAAATTGATAATTACTTAATAAAAAAAAAGAAAAAACCAGATTTTCAGTAATTGGCAAAAACTTGCTTGATCTCTAGACACTTTTGATGTGTATATAATTCTTTTTTTTAAGTATACTAAAATTAAATCAGTTCCACTTCTTACGCAGGTATAATCGGCGTAATGTGGTCCGTGGCATGGTTCGCGGTGGTGTACGACACTCCTGCTCAACATCCGCGCATTTCCGACACCGAGAGAAACTACCTAACTAAAGTGCTGCCACAGGATTCTAATAAGAAAGGGGTGAGTACCAAATTCCTCATCTTAACCAGTGACTTAAGACCTAGTTTTTACTATATATTTTTTACTAACATGACATATATATATTTTTTATGAAAGTACTTCAGTGTTATTTTTAATACAAAGATCAAACAAACAATAACAAAAATTCCTTTGATTCGACTGGACTCAGACTACTAGCCTTGCCCTTAGAGTAGACCCATGCCAAGATGATCATGGAAGGTTTACTGTACTAGCTTTCTAATTAAGTTTTGATTATAGCAACCATCCCTATCAACCCCTTGGTTACGCGGGAAGGACTCTATAACCTGTAAAAGCACAGGGACCTTGCAAGGTCAGTGGAATAGACCGACAATCCAAATTAAGTGCGTTGATTACGCTGCCTACAGGCAAGAGTTCGTCCAGGGAAGTACTGCCTCCTTAACCATTTGCATAAATGCAGTAAAGTGAGCATTTTTGCTTTCCGGTTTTGAAGGATTAGGCGATTATCACACTGCCCTGCATTCCCGCGGGGAGACGTTGCCAGTGTGTTATATGGCGCGTGTTTTCTATACAAACTGAGATACTTCAGTATATATAACGTTTGAAAAACGCAGCCCCGCACACTGTTGCGTGAAGCGGAGCAGTATGATAATCGCCTAAGGGTGCTGGTGACATTATATGGGACTTTTTAACTTATATCTCAAGGTGACGGGCGCAGTGGCAGTGCCCCTCAGATGTTTGAAATTCAAAGTACTGATTGCCCCTGCAACTGTTATGGACAAGCGTGTCCCTTCGCCAGACCCATTTGTTCGTCCCGTAATTTGGTAGCATAAAAAAATATATACTCCCGGACACATAAATCGAGTCACCTTGCAGTTTTATTCTTAAAGGGCATAACACAAAAATATTGTTATCACAGAAGAAAACAATTTTTCTCGGTTTTATAAATTCAAATTATCAAAGAATCATGGAAATGACGTTTAGTATACCAATTTCAAAATAGCTTAGAAGTTTTCGATCAGTCAAACATTGTTTAAGCTTCGGCCAATTTGAAAATGCAGGGTGGCTCGACTTACGTGTCCGGGAGTGTATTAATGCAAACCATCCTAAAAACCAAATGCACGCGATTTAGATGCGAAAAAATAGCTTCATGTCCAATCCAAACAATCGCGAGAACTTAAGAACTCGAAAAAATTTCTAATTTTTTTAAATTTTCTTTTAGTTTAGCACATAATTTCCTTAATCAAATGCAATTATAATATTAGACAGAAATAACAAGGAAGTAAACTCTTAACACGTTTCTAATATCCTGGTTGTACATTACACAAGTTACATTTTCCGTCTAAGGTAATGACGTCACATGCCTAGGTATATAACATATATACATACGTCTGTCTACATACATAACTACAATTGTGTTACATATACATATGTAAATGACTGTACTAATTGCACATTACTCACTGTTATTTTTGAGTTGTAAGAAAATCTGTTTGAAATACTTCATAAAACATTATTGATCCTGTTTACTCGGTTTAGGAAAACGTCAGTTCTCGCAGATTAAGTTACAAAATTTTTTAACGTTTCTATTTAACTGTTTAAATGAGTTTATTGAGAACTGAACCAAACGGTCTACAAAAAACATGGTAACATTATTTTTCAAAGCGATATTAATAGCAGTTAGTTTGAAAGAAAATAATAAAAAAAAACACATTTATTCGACTACCACAAATGACGCCACACATGAAAAAGACAAAAGATTTTTTAAAATAATATCAAGTAACAGGACGAACAAGTCGTGCGCCTGATGGTAAGCTGCACGCCTGTCCATAACAGTTGCAGTGCCACTCAGAGCTTTAAATCGCAATGATCTGAGGGGGACTGCAACTGCACCCGTCACTCTGAGACTAAGGGTCGTATTCCAGAACTCTACTCAATGCTCAAGTCAAAACGTGAGTATTGCAATGAGCACTGAAAATCATACTCAAGTCCTTGCCATTAGGGTCGTATTTCCAGTGCTTGAAATCATACTCAAGTCTGCTCAAGTCCTGACTTGAGCATTGAGTAGAGTTCTGGAATACGACCCTAAGTCCCGTGTGCCTGTAATTTCACCAGCACCCTTACCTTTGACAACCGGAACACAATAATGCTGGCATTACTGCTTGGCGGCAGAAATAGGTAAGGTGGCAGTACTACCCTGGACGAACTCTTTCACAAGGAGCGCTACTGCTACTAAACTATATCTAAAAAACACCATCAAAACCGTTCCCAACGTAAGACACAAATAAATAATTACAAAACAAAATCACGCACAAAACAAAAACTAAATCAAATTAAAACAGATTATTTAAATTAAAAAAAAAAAATGTAAAAAGATACTTAGGGTCGTATTCCAGAACCCTACTCAATGCTCAAGTCAGGACTTGAGTATGATTTAAAGCACTGACAATCATACTCAAGTCCTTGCCATTAGGGTCGTATTTCCAGTGCTTGAAATCAAACTCAAGTCTGCTCAAGTCCAGTGCTACCAACCGTGGTAACAAAAGGGTAACTCAGTATTTTTTATACAGTCACATTACAGTAGTATTTAATTTGTCATCTCTAATAAAAAAATCAATTATAAGAGCTGTAATTTTTTGGCTTACAACTCATGAACTATAGTATCTTAACACTCGATTTTAATTATAAAACAACTTGTAATATTTTTTAATAACATTTTTTAACTAATCGTGATTTAAAACGTGTTTGTATCGCCTGTCAGGGGAAGATGTAGTATTTTAACAACCGGATTACATTATTGAACAGACTTGTCACTGGCGTTATTTATTATACCACATTTTAACAACGCGGGTGGGGCGGGTTTAGTATTCACTGTTCTTAATGTATAAAGTTTTTGAATTGTCCGTTGTGGGAATTTGTAGTGGTGTTTTTACTATACTTGACCAAAGATGAGCACGTGATTTTAACCCGGTGCTTGTTAACGCCGGGTTTTAATCGGGTTAAAACCAATTAATGCCCGAAATCGAGGGAAAAACTACTTATACAACTTTTCAACTAAATATTTGTAAATTGAGTTTTATTCAAATGTAATGATATTATCATAAAATGTTTACTGCTTGCTTTACATATTTTGCCTTTTTACGAGTCGATTCGCTTGAAAAGCGCATTGAAATGAATCGTTACAAAAACTCGTTATCGTACACATTTGAATCGATGTTCATAAAGATCGAATCTTAATGTAAGTAAGAGTCTATTCTGTGGAGTTGCCTCTTTTTTCTTCTAAAAAAGATTAATGCGGATAATACCAAATTCCGTATTATTTTACGCGTGTTTTGTTTCTGCCCACAATTTTTGGCTGAAAATCGGTTAAAACCCGGGTGTTTTGATTGGGTTTTAACCCAGCGCCCATCTCTGTACTTGACACTTTTTTTTATGATACTAAATGACGGGACGAAGAAGTCCGCCTGGTGGTAAGCAACACGTCTGTCCTTAGAAATTCCAGTGCCACGCAGAGCCACTCAGAGCCATTCACGCGTCCAAAGGCCGAACATACTATTGAATATAACACTATGATAGTGTTATGCAATGCAGGAACTACATTTATAGTTTTTAATCTAGGTGGTTATAATAGCAACGTCATTTGTATAGAATGCAGTCATATTACATACATATAGTAGTATTGGGGACGATTCAATGTTTAATGTACTTATTACATGTGATGTAGATAAAGGTGTTAAGAAAATCATAGTCTTTGTAGGAAGAATGATGAGAATCGAAGTATAAGTACCGATGTACCGATATTATAATATACTCCCGGACACATAATTAAAAAAACGTAAAGGGCTAGAATCACATTTAAGTGGTCTGTGGGTAGAATACAAAAATAATGTTATCATCGAAGAAAAAGTTTTCCCACGGTTTTGCAAATCCAAATTCCTAACAAGAACTTATGAAAAAAACGTTTAGTATACTAGTTTCAAAATTGCATAATAGTTTTTGATCAATCCAACATTGTTTAAACTTAGGGCACTTAATACTGAAAATGCGTGGCGGCTCGAATCACGTGTCCGAAAGTGTACCTATAAGGTCGTAACGTTTCATTTATCGTTGGACGACTAGCTGTCGTGATTGTCCAACGTTTATTTTATCGTTGAACGACTGTCGTGTCTATCCGTTCCAACTAAATCGTGACGACAATTTATCGGTTCACAGCAGCCGCCTTGTCGTTTGCACTGCAGAATTATTTGAAGCTGCGATTATCTGTCGCCCATTTTTATTGTGATGTTTTATTTATCGTCAGATGACTGTCGTTCTAGCTCTTCGCATTGTCATGATAGCCTGTCGGCGTATCGTCAAAAAAGTCGTGAACGACAGTTAATCGTGTTGTTCTATGTGTGAACTATTTAATTTAAATATACAAGGCACGACACTTTAAACTGCAAGACTATCTGTTATCACGACATAATGGGAACGCGCCCTTAGTGCAAAAAATTCGTAATACTTCTATGTAGTACCACATACAAGAGCTAGAGCTGGCTATTAAATAAAAAGTTGTATGCATGAGAAACTATTAACTTTAGTTTTTTTTAAATATCAAATTGTATGAGTAAGAATTAAGCTAAGAATTTAAAAACGTGTCATTGGCAAGTTTGAATTTCCACATTCAAACCAACAAAGAATTAATTTTTCTCCTCACTAGCTCGGAAAGGCTTTCGTTCTCATTAGAAATTTGCGCGCAAAAGCGTTTTTGAAATTCGAACTTGACGATGGCTTGTGGGGCATCTAACTTTTTCTTTTGATGAAAAAGAAACACGCGTACAACTACGCGATTTGTCGTACATTATCTATTTATGTAATATAAATCTGTTGGTATATTTTAACCTTATTATTGTTGACATTAAATTGACAACGATAACAAATTTTGTTTATTAAAACTGTTTTTTTATAGTTCAACTGTTTTTCTTTCATCTACCATTAGCGTCGCTAGTTTCGCTCGGCAGCAAAGTTGTTTTGCGTCTCGTGCCTAGAAACCGTCGCTACGCGCAGGATTCTATTCTATATATAATATCTGATTATATATTTTATATATAATGTTAGAATACTTTGCTTGCTCAAGTTTCAACACAAGCACTCGCGTTGAACAACAATTTTGCAGCCTTACATAACAAATAACTATTTCTTTTCTGTCCCTAGCATCTCGCTGTACCCTGGAAGAGCATGCTCCTGTCAGGACCCGTCTGGGCAATCATCATCACCCACGGAGCATCCGTCTTCGGCTACTTCACTGTAGTGAATCAGCTGCCCACTTACATTGAAAGCATTCTGCATTTTAGCATCAAACATGTAAGTATTGATAGGTTTTTCCATAATCTTCTACGACCTACTTACTTATGAAAAATCTTTTTCTGATTGCATAGGATATAGTAGCAGCAGAAGTCCTTGTGAAAGAGTTCGTCCAGGATAGTACTGGCACATTACCTATTTCTGACGCCAAGCAGTAATGTCAGCATTACTGTGTTCCGGTTTTGAAGGGCAAGGGTACTGATGAAATCACAGGCACATGGGACTTTTTTTTTTTTTTTAATTTATTTGGTCAGTCAACAATTGTTACACCAATAAGTTAGAAATATACATGCAAAAGCTTAAAACTAAGTGCACAATCAGTTATAGACCGACACTACATGCACAGTAAAATTATTACAGAGTAAAAAAAAAAACTTGCAAGAGGAAAAGTACTAACATTAATTCAACAATACGCTTACAGAAAGAAGTAGTGAAATATCTTAAGACTAAGTGAAAACATAAAAAAAAAAGAAGTTAGGTGACAGAGTTTCAAGACGGTGATGACATTACGCGCTTCGTTTTTGTTACCGAGAAGTAGTGTAAATCAATTGTTGCGCTATGATCATTATACAACTTGCTAAGTCTTGCAATGGGAGAATTCGCGCCCAAAACAGTCCTGCGAAGAGGTTTGTAAAGAGGCTTAATGGGAAATCTAGGCAGTTTGCGGGGAACATTAAATGATATGAGGTTTAGAACTGAACTGCATTTAATTTGATTATTTAACATTTTGTATAAAAACATCATATCTAAAATGTCCCGTCGCTTCTCCAAGGACAGCATTTGGAAGTTTGTGAGTCTTGATGTATACGATCGAAATTTTTTAGCTTGTCCTGTCAACTTATGTCGCAGGGTGATGGACGCAGTGGCAGTGCCCCTCGGATCTTTGCTTATTTAAAGCTCTGAATGGCACTGCAACTGTTATGGACAGGCGTGTAGCTTACCATCAGGCGCTCGATTTGTTCGTCCCGTCACTCGATATTATTTTTTTAAAAAAGCTTTCACACTTCTCCATTAAAGTTTTCATTTAAATTTCTTCCATTTTTTTCATTTAAACTCATAGCAAGAACAGCATTTAACGGAACAAAACTAAAAAAAGTGTTATATGCACTGTAATGGATACGCCTAATGAGGAAATCCACTGAATTCTAGAGCGCATTTTAATCCGGTGTATCCAGACAGTGGAGGAGCCAAGTTGTTTGAGACGTCTTCAGTTCGTGAGATAAACATAAAAATAGCACAAGTTCATCGCCTTAACTCTCTTATTACGTCATCATTGTTTTCGATTTGAAAAAGCACGCTAACGGCCACAATAAACACAAAATTCTATGGAATGCTAAAAGAGCGAAAAAACCTAGTCAATAGCAACAAAGTTAACATTGTGTAAAGCGCGACCTAAAAAGTTCGATAATTTAAACTTTAATTTGTAGGAACAAGGTGTAATTTAACGGAACGAGTTTCGCCATCTTGCGCGTTAATTGTATAGTGACCACGATTTTTTGCAAGTATTGAGGACAGGATATTTTTTTGTTAAGAGGTCGAATCAGATACTAAAGAAATGTACGGTAGCCATAATGTGTGTTTTACGGATTAGGACAGTTTTTTGTTCGAAATTTATCTTCATGGAGATATTATTTCGTGTGTTGTGTTTTGTTTGCTAGATATTTGTAGTATTGGTGAAATAAAAGATTATGTATAGTTTTGTACAAATGTCCAAAAGGTTACAATTTTTAATTTATACTAAAATTAACGTAAAAAATACACGAAAATGCATTAGTGGTTACCAAAAAAGCACAATTGATGGACTAAAATCACCTCCATTGCCACTCCGAAGTAGTATTATTTTGCATCGACCTTTGTAATACCGTTTAATTGTGTTGATAACTCAAATATATTTTGTTTATCTATAAAATTTATAAAATTTAAATTAATATAATATTATTTATGTGAATCGAAATGAGTATTGTTTCAGACTTATATAATTGAATTGTTTATTGACGGATGAATGAATACGGAGTTTGCCAGTGGTGTTTATTACCAAAGAAGGCGAAAACTGACCCAATAATTATAAAATCAACGAAGAACCGTTCATGGACTTTACTATTATATTTATATTATATTATAGTATAATTTTACGTTTTAGTCTTAGTTATCAATGTATTGTAGAATAAATGCAAGAACACAACGCAATTTATTCAGTTCGACCATAGACTAAGTGATGTTCTTGTACGTACATTTCATTTTAAGCGTGATTGAATGTTTACCTACCTAACTACTACGACTATTGGTTATATTATAGTAAACACAAAAAAAAGCTAGAAAATACCTAATCAATTAAACAGTAATGACAATGTAAAAAATTGAACACAATGTGAGAAAAATGTTTAGACAATATTTAAATAAGAGATAAGAAAGTTAGCAAAGGAACGTATTGACTAGAGGCCTGTTGCCATTGTCGACGTTATATTGAGATTGAGAATAGTGTGACCATTTGTGGCAATTACTGCCATTTGGGTAGATTTAATTTTTATTCATTTTCATTGCGGAGAACATGTTAACGTTTTATGAAATGTGGCTTAGTTTGGCAGATTTGGGAATATTCAACAAGTTGTTTATTATTTTTCGGGAATATACTAAAAACTTGTTGTTTTTTGCTACTACGAACAAATATGAAGCGAAATACAGGACAATGTTATAAATAAACTTTATAACCACAGCTTCTCCAGGCTGTACTCAATTAGCTTTATTTATGCTATGGTAATGAATCACAAGTATTGATAGGTCTCTTTGATGTACGTCGTCAAAAACACTTTGTCACAAAATACACGGGATGTCGCCAACCTTCTTGAGAATTGTTAATTATGAAAAAAAAAAAATATTTACAATAGTGAATAGGATAGATCTTTAAACTAGAATACTAGTTTCAAATAGCATTTAAAACGTAAATGTATCTTGCGTTTATGACCAGTATCTGAGCCTTAAGCACAAGAAGATGAATATACTGATATGCGATCTAACGTACATGTAGCGTGCGCATAGCATGTAGTAAACATAAACAATAGTGTTTATGTGTTGGTGTACACCAAGAATAATTATACGACACGTGTTATTCGCTATATAATTGTGTTTACGTTAATTCTACTTAACAGCACTTCTCATTTTAACACGTAGTTCCGAGCTGTTACTTTGTTGTGAAGATAGATAAATTACAGGTAAAACGTAGTCAGCTAATGTACTAAGCATGTATATGTAAGAATAAATAGCTTACTCGAGACAGTGTTCTTGTAGATCTCAAGTTATTCAACCCGCACAAAATAGCAGATCAAATATCTGGTCGTAATTTACATTGTCTAGTAAAACTACTGACGTAGCGTTTGTATCCAGATATTTGCCTCTAATTTTAAATTGACAAATACATAAAAATAAATGCATTTTATAACCAACAAATCAAGCAATAATAAAATTATCCAATACATCTTTAAATAAAAATAAATTTTAAATAAAAATGCTGTATCAAATTTCTAGCGAGTTCTAAAGATGACCTTGCCTCGCATAACGCCTGTTAATCGGAGTTTCCGATGAATTTCATCTTTTTTCTGATTTAGTCAATATAGAAGACAAACAAGCTTAACGCAAGCTTCCTAACTTATTGCATCAGCCGAATATACTCAGGCTTCTTCGGAGGTACTCAACGATTCGGGACAAGTAATAACTACTGTTATCTTGTAAAACATAAGAATTAAAATCCATTTTGAAAACACTTAAGACATTTTTTTATGAATTCTTTTACAATTTTAGACTAAAAGTTTACACATGATGATTTGATTATCGCTCTCGAGTATCTAGGTTTAAAAATCGCATTCATTAACATAATTTTAGTAACTTTTATAGGTTTTTTTTTTGTTTTGCCTTGGATTTTAATCACTCAAAAAGACATAAATATTTTAAATTGAAAATATCTGATCTTTTGAAAGTTGCCTTCGCATTACGTCTGTTTTAACTCAATATTTTATCTTTGTTACTAAAGGTATGCATTAAAATCAGTTTCTTTCAAACCCATTAGGCGTTATATTTTGATCACAGTGTCCATAGACATAAGGTTCATTTTTACTTAATGTCTGAAGACCATAATAAGACCGATTGAAGTATTGGAACCTGCCTGAGAAGTAAATGTTGTAGAAGGCTGTTCTCATTTGCAGCAAGCTATCGATGTGGTATTGCATAAGTTGTTGTTGCAAGCTTGTTGCATATTTTACAGTTAAAAACACCTGACCGGTATAAAAAAAGTTACAGGTAGAAATATCCGGATTAAAATAAAAAGTTACGAAATATTTTAGTAAATGTGTGAAACGCAAAGTAAGTAAGGATAAGAAGAGAAACAGGTAACGTCCAAAGCAGAACAAGAACCAGGTCGCGATAATAATACTGATGACACGCAAAACTGTTTCAATTATTACAACACTGTCTCTCCCAGAACCTACATTAAGCAAGAACTACATCAGAAACAGATAAGTTTCGGATTTTGCTACACCGACACCTTTATTTAGAAATCTGCAATTCGAAAATACTGAGAAGTGATAGCGCTCCAATATTTTTTTGTGATATCAAATGACGGCAAACAAGTCTAACCAAAGCTTTAAATTGCAATGCACAGCCATTGCGCCTCTCACCCAAGTTGGCAAGACCCATGTGCTTGTTGTTTCACCTTACCCTTCAAAACGGAAACGCAGCAATACTCACGTTATTGCTTGGCGGCGGAGCTAATTATGGTGGACTGTATTTCCCTGGATAAACTTTATCACAAACAGCTCTACTGCTAAATTGTACATAATGTGCTAAATTATACATATATCTGAAATCAAGAACTCGTTTTTAAAACTTTAGTTCTATATATAATATATAATATATAATATATATATATATATATTATTTCATCAAATCGCTGCCGATGTAGAATGCTTTACTTATCACACACCTGTAAACTAAACAAATCGGCCGCTATT